TTCTTTTGAGCATGTCAAACATCCTATAGGTAAAACCAAAAGGATTAAAGATAATATACAGTAACTTGTCATTTACCGACTGTCATCAGCATGACTTGTTCAAGACGCAGCTCCTGTGTTTACTTTCTTTTCTAGTGATAACCTATCTCATGGCTTACCGGTGTATGGTGCTTTGTAGTGTATGCATATAATCAATCTTGGTGGTGAAGTTGGTTGCATGATTAGTGAAGGCCCTTGGGTATTTGTTGGTATGCCAAATTTTGTCAAGGTAAGACCAGAATATAATTTTTTGTTTCTGTTTCCCATGGATCATAGGTGTCTCTTAGTTCTGATGGTGTAGTCTTATATTCACTTTTGATTGTGTGTTTATTTGATATATATTTTCTTTCTTTTCGATTGTGATGTTGGTTTTGCAGGCATGGAACATCCAAACTTCCTCTGACCAGAGTCTCAGTGGACCTGCTGGGCAGGTTTATGCTTTAGTTGTGGGTAATGATTTGCTGTTTGCTGGTACACAGGTATTCCAACTGGATAGTTCTTATTTTTCTTTTTAAGTTTGCGTTCTTGACATATTTATCAAATTGCATTTTTCTTTGGGGCTTTTGGTTCTTCCATCAATCCCAAAACCGTGTTTTCCAGTGGGGACTTGGGAATTTTTTTTTTTAAATTTTAAATGGAATATGGCATTAATTTTTTGTGGGACATGATAATATTGATCTTCAATGTAAGCTTCAGAATGAATAGTAAGGGACTCTTCTTGGATTATATAATACACAAAAGGCTAGATTTTTACCTTGTGCTTGCCATGGATTATAATTAATTAGAAATTGATTTTATTAGAATTTTAATTTCAATTTATCTCAAGAAAAAATTGGAATTTTAATTTCAATTAAATTTTCAATTACATAGTTAAATGAAATTTTAAGCAGACAGTGTTAATCTTATTAGGACTTTTAGTTAAACAATGTTAGTTTCAGTAGACATTTAGCTGAGTTTTTTATTCAATATAGTTTTTAATTGGACTGTTAGTAAAAAATTTTATAAAAAGTTTAACTTTATTGAAAATTTTTAAATTAAAAATTAGTAGAATCATGTAATAAATGTTTAATTACACAATTGGTATAATTGTGTGGCAGAAATTTTCACTCCATTAATACAATTGCAACATGTCAGTTTTAATCTCAGTTGCATTTTGAATTAGGCAATTATTAAAATTTTTAGTTATGTCAGATTTAATTTCAATATAATTATTAATTTAAATAGTTAGGTAAATTTTTTAATGTAGGAAAATATTTTTAATTACAGTTAGTAGAATGTTTAATCAGGAAGACGTTAGAATTTCTAATTAGACAATCCTCTCTGATTGTTACTTTGATAACATACATATATTTTCTAAAGAATTACCTTCTTGAATTAGTATTTAACTATCAAATCATAAATAATTGAAAAGGTGTAGTGTAAAGTTTCCATTAATCCTCAATGCCAAATCAAATACTGATGTTGAAATACTGATGTTAGGACCACTAATCGTTGGTGGTTTACTTCCTATTATTTAGGTATAAGATAAATTTAATTGTTATTTAGATCTGTTAAATAAGGAGTTTTTAGTTTGGAAGATATTTTGGTTTCCAGCCAGACGACATATTTGATTACGACTTAAATGCATGCGCTAAGTAAGCAGCTTTTATTGGAACATGTTTGATTTCCAAATTTTCAAATATATTTAGGATTTGAATTTATTTATATATTTCAAAATTCATTTGTTTTCCAATAAAAAAATTATTTTAGCTAACCAGTTAATACAATTGCTACACATGCTGATACTTAAATAATAGTATATATGTATAACATAGATTTAGTTTGTGCTGTATGAATCTCCCATAGTAGAAGTTTGCTCCTGCCATTTTATTTCTCTGACTCGTATCTGTGGGCATGTCTGTATCAAGTGTTAATATATATAGGTTTTTTAACTAATTGTAAATTCATTAGTGTAATTAAATTACACCTCCTTGGTGCCATCTTATATATATATATATATATTCTTGTATTTTCCTTCGCAAAAGAAAATGTTGATATTTATTCTGATCTGGTTTTGTAGGATGGTGCTATATTGGCTTGGAGATTTAGTGTTGTCACCAACTCCTTTGAACCAGCGGCATCACTTACGGGCCACAGCCTTGCTGTTGTCTCATTAATTGTAGGAGCTAATAAGCTTTACTCTGGTTCTATGGATCATTCTATAAGAGTAAGTTGGTTTTACTTTCACCAAACATTCTAATTTGTGCTTCCAACTTTTCAAAGGAGTGACTTTTTTGTTATTTTTGCAGGTGTGGAGCCTTGAAACTTTGCAATGTATACAGACACTTATGGAGCATACTTCAGTTGTTATGTCCCTTCTTTGCTGGGATCAATTTCTATTATCATGTTCCTTGGATCAAACAATTAAGGTTGAACCTTTGTATGATCATTTATTTGTTTATTTCAATTTTGGGAGGACAGCCACTCTGGGAGGTAGTTTTCAATATTATTGTTTGTGCAGGTATGGGTAGCTACAGAAAGTGGAAACCTGGAAGTTACATACACCCACAATGAGGAACATGTATGTTATACAATAATTCAAGTTCTATAATGTGTTTTGCCTTTCAACATTACTGATTCAACCATGCTAGTGAATATGCGAGAGCTTGAATTTATATGTTGATATCAATGATGGAGTTTGTGTTGGAAATGTATACTTTGACATTATTATTATTACGAATTCCTATTTAGAATTGCAATTGGTCAGATAGTACAGGTTAAATGCATCTTCCATATTTTCTTTATAAACCAGAACTCTTTTACTTTGCAGTCATGTCTCGAAACCAATTCAGACATGATTTTTGATTTGGCTATTAATGAAGACAATTTTTTTTTCTTCTAAAAAAAAAAAATGAAGATTCTTCCTGTTTGCTGTGAGCATCTCATAAACTGTCATAATATCTCCTAAGGTTGCTGAATTGGGAATTTATAACAAAATGTAGAATGGAGTTTAGTTAAAATCTTTGAGCATCTTCCCATTTGTGCAGATGTGAGAATGTTGGTCAAAGCAATCATCTAAACCATAACTTTTCTTCATGATGGTTGATGGGCATGCAAACAGAATTCCGTTTTTTTTTTTTTGTGTTTTAGATCATTTTTAATTTTGATTTTGTTGTCTCTTTTGAGCTATTTTGCATATGAAATTTTGGTAATGTGAATTTTAATGTTTTAATGATACTATGAGTTGCCTGCTGCAGGGATTGCTTGCCCTCTGTGGCATGCATGATTTGGAAGCCAAGCCTGTATTGCTGTGCGCTTGCAATGACAATTCTGTACGCGTCTATGACTTGCCATCGTGAGTTTTTGTCAAAACTCGCCTGCTGTTTTGTTATCTAAGTCCTGAATCATGGGCTGATTGATACATTCCATTTGTCATCCTTAACTGTTTCTCTGTGTTGTTATGGCTTAGGTTTTCAGAGAAAGGTAAAATTTTTGCTAAACAAGAGATACGCGCCATCCAAGTAGGTCCAGGTGGCCTGTTTTTCACTGGCGATGGAACTGGTCTAGTGAGAGTATGGAAATGGTCAGCAGAACCAACTGCTACTTCCTAAGACCAGCACTGATGTCCGTGCTGTTATGTTTCACCATATTTTGTATTTTTTGAAGGGTAATGCCGCCAATTTCAGTTTGCGGGAGGAATTAGAAGTTGAGAATGTCAGTTTTGAGTTTCTAGCTCTAGATATTCAGCAGCATCAAGCCCTTTATTACCTTGCAGTATGCTGTAGTATCGTGTAGCTCTCTTCTTGGCCTCTGAATACATGACATAAGACAACAACAAATCTAAGATATAGTTGACCTTATATTAGTGAGGTTCGTTCATTGATCAGTACCTATTTTCGCGGAAGTCTTGACCTTCTGCTTCTCCTTTGCTGGAATTAACATGAAATGTTAAAATTGTTTGGGAGTTTTGGAGAGTTGAGTCTGCCAGGGTTGAAGTGAAGGCCAGTATGTGAAGGGAAGCAGTGAGGGTAGAAGTAGTGTATATAGATTGGGAAGGGAGGATTCGATGGGCTGTGTTTCATTATCATTTTCAGCATGCTGCTTACGGATTAAGTGAAAGAAGACGAGAAGAGATGGTGGTACATACTACTTTCTTGTACTGTTTTGAGTGTAGCCTTTACTAAGGAGTTTGGATTTGGAAACGTAGAATAATTTGGTTGTAACCTTAAACTTGTTATATCTTTTAAGTCAATATAATTTGATTGTGGCTGTACCACGCTCAGTGTGAGCAAAATATGCATTTAGTGCTTTAATCCAACTTAATACGCTACAAATGTTTTATGTTCTCTTAAATTTTAGTAATATCATAAGCGAACTGGGATATGTAATGGGACAGAGGAATGACATTATAAATTTGCCTTTTTAAATTGTACCCAAGGACAAGAGACATCCAAACTTAATTAGAAAAGAAGAGTTTAACCAAGAGATAAGACAGTCTGTTTATTGATAACCTCAGTTATTTATTATACAGACTTTACATGGTATATAAATTTCCTTGGCCTTGGTGTAGAGAGCTCACAGATTGAACATGACCTTAATAGCTTGGCCACCACGAGCACTGGTTTCAAAAGCTTCTTCAACTTCCTTCTGGGTGAACCCAAACCTATGAGTTATGAGTGGCTTCACATCAATCTTACCACTTCTTATGAACTCAATGCACAATGGCCATGTGTTCTTATATCGGAAGACGCCAATCACATCCACCTCCCTGAAGTAGAGCAAAAGAGAGAACTTGTTTGTAAGAAACATATGTGCTTTTGTTGAATATAACAGGAGACTTGATTTAGTACCAAGTCACCATGGAATCCACCAATATTTTTTGTCCGTTATCTGATTTCAACGGCCGTGATAACATTCTTCAAATCTAAAACCATGTTATGGTTATGCAACACATTGTTAAGCTTAATCTGGACTTCTGTTTTTCTACTTCGCTCCCCATTTATTCATTACTTCCAAATGACAATTCAAAAACCAAAACTTACCGTTTTCTTCCTAAACATTCACTCTGTCTGCCCCCACCCTTCTACAAAATTATCCTAAAGAATTCCTGGGTTCCTAATTGTTGATATCAAATTCATATGAATTTACTTTTATCATGACTATAATTAAAGAAGATAAAGATGAGGTAGACAATATACCTTGCAGCAGATGGAGTGAGCGGCACAGTCATCTCATTGTGGCCCATACCAACAAGGCACACTTTGCCACCGGAACAAGTGGCACTAAGGGCTGTTGACATAGTTTTATTAAAGCCAGCACAATCAAACGTCACATCCACTCCAGCTCCCATAGCTTTATGTATCTGTTCCACTTCTTCAGCTATGTCCTGTTAAGTGTAAATGTATCAGAGAATGGGTAAATATTGACACCTAAAAGAAGTTAAAAAGACAAATGTTCTTGTACAGTGAACTGAAATTGCCTAAGGCGGTCAAATTGACAGAAAAAGGGTTCAGTGCAAAACATTAACTCTGGAATTCTTTTCCCACATAAGAGAAAAGCTAAAAAATAAAAACTAGGATGATTCCAAAAAGAACTACTAATCTTTTGGTCAAATTTTCCTGTGACGGGAAGAACTTAAAAAAGTGAATCAACCTGCATATTTGTTGTAACTTTAACAATTTCATCTGCACCAAGGTCTTTTGCAACAGATAACCTATAATAATCAACATCCACTATGACAATTCTAGGTGCACCAAAAGCACGAGCTGCCATCATGGTGACAAGGCCTATAGGCCCTGCTCCCATGACCAACACGTTTGTCTCTGGACCAATATTTGCTCGGCGACAAGCATGTACACCAACACTTAACGGTTCACACATTGCTCCTTCCTCCAAGCTCATGTTATCAGGCAATTTAAAGCACAGGTCCGCTGGGTGCACCACCTGTTACATGATAGTCATTTTAATTGTTACCTTGTGTTGCTCTGAAGAAAATCTTGCTGAATCAAATAGACCAAAATGATCTGGATTATAATTTTCTGCTTAAGTCATTGTGCCAATGGCTGGTAAAAGTCAATCAAAGCAAAAAACGATCACCAACAAAACTTTCAACAGATGCAAAAGGGCAGTTTTGGAAATTTTGGTCACAATAAAGCTCACACCAAACTAGATGCAACGGGATCTCTCAATTCTACCATGCACATGCATTTCAGTTTAAAATAAAAAAATCATCGCGTTCGCCCTTGAAGACTCAGAATATCATTATAAAACAACAATTCTGTGTTGCCAAAACCTTCATAGCTGTTCTGGCTGCTAGGACCATGCCCAAACTTTTGTCTGGCTTTAAGGTGATGCACATAAAATTTTCAGTTATTCAAGAATTTAACAATTAATACACAAGTTTCACACTTAAAGTTGGTTCCCCTAAACATGATGTATTAACATAAAGCTAATCAAGCATTCATTAACTTAAACCTCTGGACATAAATTTATTTTGCAGTGTCTTACAGGTTTCAAAATTGATAACAAAAAATTCAGACTTTCACCTAATCACCGTCCATGGAAACAGTCAATTCTCAAGCCATCTATAGTTGATAGAGTAAAAAGTAGTGAACAACATATTTGTACAACTGCATAAACAATGTTCAACTACTACCTACAATATGTCCAAAGAAAGAGTAAAATATCAAAATGCTACATATAGGTATGCTAACCTGATTGGCAAGAGAACCATGAACTGGTGGAGTGGCAAAAAATTTCATCTCAGGGCAGAGATTGTATCGACCTTCCTTGCAAAGACTACACTGAAAGCAACCAATCCCTGGTTCCAGTGCCACTCGGTCACCAGGAATCAGATGCTTCACCTCACTCCCAACTTCTTCTATGATCCCAGCACACTCATGCCCAATCACCATTGGCTCTTCCACTACGAAATGTGCACATCTCAAGGTCTAGCAATATCCAAAGCAATTAAGAAAAAAACACATATTAAGTAAAAAAGCATTAAAAAAGGAAAGGAAGGGGTTGAAGGGGGCACAGTTGAAAGTGATTTATAGAAGTTCACACAAGGAGGGCGTAGTGAATCTTCAAAATTCAGCAGAAAACAGTTATATAGAGACATATATATACACATATTTATATGTGCAAATATTGATGGCTATTTGATACACACACACACACAAACATATACCTTGAGGTAGTGAACATCACTTCCACATATACCAACTGCCTTCATCCTAACTCTCGCATCATGGGGTCCTAAAAACCCACAAAAATTAGAAAAATATATGACGATTTTCTTAAACAGTGGGAAATTGGGCATCGAGATTTCTGATCGAGAGTTTAAAAAATCCATCAACGCAAACAACCAGAAATTAAAGAAACAGAACCGTGGGGGTAGATGTTCAGAAAGATGCTTGAAGAAGATGAAACAATCAAGTACCAAGAGCAGGAAGATTGAAAGGTTGGATCTTGAGCGTATTAATACCAAGAAGCCAAGCAGCCATGTTGTCACAATGTTCTTCCTCTCCATGAGACTTCCCTCCTTTACCCATTTTCTCCCCTCTGTACTCACTAGCGCTAGGCTGCCAACTATAACCAGTGAGCGGCTGGATGGGCAGGAAATGATTCTCCTCTGTGAGGCCCACCCTTCTTTATTTGGTGTTGGGGAACTGATTGATCCTAAATCCATCATATCTTCTCTGCCATCTATTTTAAATAAAAGTTCATTGTATTATTAGATCTTTTTTTTTTTGATGGACTGATAACAAATTACTATTAGATTTTACTACGATAAAAAAATTTTCAAAATTAATAACATTGTATACAATCATTAACTGTTAATTTAAAAATAATATGTAAAAAGATAAACGTGTATTGTATATTAAGATTTCCGACTTAAGAATTAAGTGTTGAAATATATGGTGCATATATATATGTAGATTCTGTTTTAGAGTAATTTAATGTTAAAAGTTATCAAAATTTTTAGTTTCACCTTAACAGTTGTTTGAAGTTTAAACATATACGTTGTAATGTTTTATCTCATTTAAGTTAATTCTATTATTGTTATTATTTATTTTTTATATTCTAATTATTTAATCTATATATATATATATATATGTGTGTGTGTGTGTGTGATATAATTCATTTATTTAAGGTATGACAAAATCAATCCCAATCTTTCATATTTAATTTCAAAAAATTCATAATTATAATGTTTATTTATACTTAATAAAAAATATGTAATATAAAATTAAGAATTTATTTTTATTTTAAATTTATATGTTACATCTTCCCCATTATTCAAATGGCTTCCACCTCCTCTGAGGACTTGGAAACAGACATGATAGGATACCAGAATAAATACCTTACACTACGTGAAGTATTCGATGATGAGGAGGACGATCGAGGATCTAGGTATGTCCCAGCATCTGCCTCACAACGGTTGAAAAAATAAAACTGTGGAAACTTTGGCCATTTACGCTGACTGATCATCAAGCTGTTTAGAAAGTCTGTAGGCTTCTAATATTCTGAACAGAAACTTCATTAGTTATGGCAGACCATGGGGAATATTCCCTACGTGGAAAGATCCATGCAGCAATCGAAGATACCAAAAAGCCCACCGCATCGTGCAAGATTTCCGATTGAAAATTGCCATATTGGACTGGGAATGGGAACAAAAATGATATGGAAACTGCAGAGATAAAAGGACATGGAAACTGAAGCACCAGAGTTGGACACCTATATAAATCTCTAGAAAAATGAGCCTGTGATGGTGATTTATAGAGTTTCCCAACCGGTGCAAATGAGGGAGAAGAAACAGCTGGCCAAGAGACAGAGCAAGACTTCAAAACTAAAAAAGCCCTTAGCTATTAAATCCAAGCCCAACAAGAGACTATAACTAATGGGACGAAATTAGAGTTACAGTCTTAGAAATGGACCAGGAAAAAAGAAAATGAAAACTTATTTCACAATAGACTGTCAACATACATTCACACTTCCTTTTAAACTCAACTAGCTAAGGTTGATTGGTTATCTACATAAATTCACTTAGTTACATATTTCTTTCTCTTCATCTCCCAAATTACAAGTTAAAATAGTTTTTGTAGGGGTTACATGTTGAACATAACCTTAATGGCGTGACTGCCACAAGCACTGGTTTCAAAAGCTTCTTCTACCTCCTCCTGCGAAAACCCAAACCGATGAGTTATGAGCGGCTTCACGTCAACCTTACCACTTTTTATCAACTCAATGCATAATGGCCATGTGTTCTTATATCGAAAGACGCCAATCACATCCACTTCCCTGAAATTTTCACCAACTACTTAATTAACAAGAGTTATTAAATAATATGATTTCAAAACTTTAAATATTTTTTATTATTTATATAAAAATTACTAACAATAATACGTTAGTATTATACAACTTATAATCTAAAAAGACAAAATAAAAAGTGTACCTTGCTGCAGCAGAAGTAAGAGGGACAGTCATTTCGTTGTGGCCTAAGCCGATAAGACAAACTTTGCCACCTGAACTAGTGGCACCAAGAGCTGTTGAAATTGTCTTATTAAACCCTGCACAATCCAAAGTCACATCTATTCTTGCTCCCATTGCTTTCTTTATTAGTTCTACTTTTTCATCTACGTCCTGTTACAAATACAAAGTCTAAGTGAAATTATATTTATTGTACCTAAAAATATATTGGTTTCACATCCAAAAAAAATAATGAAATTATATTTCATAAATATTTAAGTCATTTGTTATTAATAATAATATTTTTTTTATTAATGTTCTCCAAAATCAGAAAAAAAGAACTAATTGTATATCGATTTACCTGCATATATGGTGTGATCTTAACAATCTCATTTGCACCAAGGTCTTTTGCAATAGATAATCGGTAATCATCAATATCCACAAGGACTATTTTAGGCGCTCCGAAAGCACGAGCTACCATCATACTAACAAGCCCTATAGGCCCAGCTCCCATGATCAACACATTTGTCTCCGGACCAATATTACCTCGATAACAAGCATGGACACCAACACTTAGTGGCTCACACATTGCTCCTTCCTCCAAGCTCATGTTATCAGGCAATTTAAAGCACAGGTCTGCTGGATGTACAATCTATTATATGAAAATCATTAGCTATCCAAAAGAATCTTTTTCAAGTAGAGCCAAATCATTGTTTGGTTAATCTGCACCACATCTAACTAAGTAACTGTTGGAGTTATCTACTTTATTTTTGACTTGGTCAAATAACACCTGTTCCTATTCTGTAGGATTTGTTAGTAAAATTCTGAAGTTTATTAGTGTTTTACGGAGTCTTATGTTTGTTTACTTTATCCCTCTTTTTTAGTAGATAGATGTTAGTTATTAACTCTATAATTAGAGCACCTGATTGTAACGTTAAGCAGCAGTAGAATAAAAGGTTCAGCTCCATTTTGATCTTAATAACACTTGCTCCATTTTATTCTTAGTTAACACTGGTATCAGAGCTGGTCTGCGAGTGAAAGTGAGTCAAACACTTGTGAGGGTAAGAGTGAGTGAAACACAAGATAGTGGTAGTGAAGGAGAACCCACAACTTGCAGCAGCTGCAACCTTCAATATACTGTGATAGTATATGGCTTTAGCAGAAAACTTTGTGCAACCAGCTATCCTGTGTTTCGATGGTCACTATGGCCATTGGAGCATGCTTATGGAAAATTTTCTAAGGTCAAAAGAATACTGGGGTGTTGTTGCATCTGGTGTAACAAAACCAGAAGCAGGGGTCTCACTGACTCAAACGCAAAAAACAGATTTGGAAGCTCTAAAGCTAAAAGACCTCAAGGCTAAAAATTATATCTTCTAAGTTATTGATCGTTTAATATTGGAGACAATTCTTTGCAAAGACACCTCCAAAGAAATCTGAAATTCTATGAAGAGAAAATATCAAGGATCAACGAGAGCGAGAAGGCAGCAGCTTCAAGCGCTTCGTTCGGAATTCGAATTACTTCGAATGAAGCAAGGAGAATCTGTTACAGACTATTTTTCAAGGACAATGGCAATTGTCAACAAAATGCGGATCATGGTGATAAGATGGATGATGTTGCAGTCATAGAGAAGATTCTTCGGTCTATGACCCCAAAATTTAACTTTATTGTTTGTTCAATTGAACAATCAAAAAATTTGATGAACTGACAATTGATGAATTACAAGGATCTTTGACAGTTCATGAGCAGATATAAACTTCCAGGAAAAGAGACAAGCATTAAAAGTCTCAACTGAAGAAGTCCTCAACATTCATAAAGGAGAGCAGAGGAAGAGGAATAAGATGACGCAATCATCGAATCACAGCAGATAGACACCCAGAATACCAAAGA